TATACACACACACACACACACACACACACTTGGGACAATTGTGGGACAAGTCATAATCTAATATGATATAATATAATGTTATATAATATAATATAATAAATTGTTTTTTACTGAAAAAATTTATTATATAAAATGTATTCATATTTTTTGAAAGAAAGAAGATTTTTTTAAAGTGCAATCATTATATTTATATTATTAAAAATACTGTAATATTATGAAATATTATTACCATTTAAAATAATTGTTTTCTATCTGAATACAATTACAAATTTTATTTATTGCCAAAGTTGAATTTTTAGCATCATTATGGCAGTCTCCAGTCAGTGTCACATGATTCTTTAGAAATTATATTTGTATTACACTAATGAGAATAGAACTGGGAGGAAATGTGCTGTCATGACAATAATGTTACAAAAAAAAAATCAATCACATCTCTTGACAGATTTCTTGTGAAATTCACCTATTATATTTTGAATAATATCATGAAAATGAATACTATGAACTGATAAATCGTACATAAGACACATTTAAACAAAATACAAAGTGGCTATATTTCCATCTTCAAGGACTGGCTGAACTCTTGTTTCTTATTAATGATAGTCATGGGCATTCATCATGAGACAGGTGATCTGATAACACACTCGCTCCTATCTTCTCAACCCCGTTGGATCCTCTAAAGTGCCTTACGATGAATTAGATAACACCTCAAGACTCTTTTCCCCTGTTTTGTCTTTCATTTTGGCATAACCGTAAGATGCTAGCGAAGAGAATATCTCAATGAATCTGTGTGTCAGCATGTGGTTTTCAACAGCCACACACACAGAGAAGCGCGAGGAGAGGCTGGTTCGGTTTCACCTGTGGACGCACGATCCACTTGTTGATTTTATGAGGAGAGATTAAAAAACAACAACACATGGGGCAGAAATAAACGCTCATCTTCTGTCCGGCCCGGGCCAGGCATCGTGCCAGCCATCTAAGACACATTCCACAGGTATCTCTGCTCTCCAGACCGGCCACTGGAACAGGTTCGGGTCACAGCCTCCAATCCACTTGTTGATTTTATGAGGAGAGATTAAAAAACAACAACACATGGGGCAGAAATAAACGCTCATCTTCTGTCCGGCCCGGGCCAGGCATCGTGCCAGCCATCTAAGACACATTCCATAGGTATCTCTGCTCTCCAGACCGGCCACTGGAACAGGTTCGGGTCACAGCCTCCTTAGAGCCGGCCAACATGTCACTTAAGGTGAGAAAGTGTGCTTACTATTCTTGCAATAAGCCTTCTGTTGCATATTAAAGGGATAGTTCACCCAAAGATGAAAGTTTTGTCATCATTTACTCACCCTCATGCCACTCCAAACCCGTATGAGTTTGTATTTTGATCAAACAGTTGCCGGTAGCCATTGACTTCCATCGTATTTTTTTCTATATGGAAGTCAATGGCTACCAGCAGTTTGGTTAACCACATTCTTTAAAATATCTTCTTTTGATTGGTCCATTTTTGAATCTAGAAATTTTAGAGTATGTCTACATAATTTGTCATGTTTCCTAATATTCTTAATATTCGCATCCAAAATTAAAGTTTTTCTTTATATAATATATGCATGTATACTGTGTATATTTATTTACATTTAGTCATTTAGCAGATGCTTTTATCCAAGGTGACTTACAAATGAGGACAATGAAAGCAATCAAAATCAACAAAAGAGCAATGATATGTAAGTGCTATAACAAGTCTCAGTTAGCTTAACGCAGTACACATAGCAAGGGCTTTTTTAAATCATATAATAAATAAAAAGAAAAGAATAGATAGAATACAAAAAGAATAGAGAAGCTAATAAGAAAATAAGCAGTTAGTAAATGAATAGAGTGGAAGTCTAAAAGGGGCAAGTTTTTTTTTAAAGAATAAAATTACAATAGAGTGCTAGAGTTATATATATTTTCAAAATATATACTGTATGTGTGTGTATTTATATATACAAAATAAATATACACTGTACACATACATATATTATGTAAACAAAAACGTTAATTTTGGATGCGATTAATTGTTTAACAGCACTAATTCTTCATTTTATTAACAGCCATGTTTGCATCATTGCATATTTCGGTTTATAATGCACATCAATATGCATAACTTATACGATTAATTGAAGACAACAGCTTTGACAACGTATTTGACTTCTATAATACTTCGGAATTAAACAGAATATTAATGATTGGAATAATGGTTCATCAAGGCATTTTTAGGACTATTTCAATTTTCATGACCATTAAGTATGTACCAAGATCGCCAAAATTATTTTACTGCTGCAATGTAGAATTAAAATTTAATTTGCATAAAAAATCAAATAGATTTTTGAAAAAAAAAAAGAAAAGTTCACCTATGCCGCATTAATTTAATAAAAAACTGTAAAAACAGCAATAGTGTGAAATATTATTACAATAAAAAAAACTGTTTTCTATCTAAATATATTGTAATTTATTACATTATAAAAAGTTATATATATATATATATATATATATATATATATATATATATATTTTTGAGTCAATTATGAATGTATATAATATAATATAGTATAATATAATAATATTAAATGTAAAATATAATATAATATATCTTATTTCTAATTTATTTTTTATTGAAAAATGCATATTTTTGAAAGAAGATTTTTTTTAAGTATTATGAAGTATTATTAAAATTAAAAATAATTGTTTTCTATCTGAATACACCTTAAAATATTGGCAATCAAACAGTTGCCGGTAGTCATTGACTTCCATAGTATTTTTTTCCATATGGAAGTCAATGGCTACCAGCAGTTTGGTTATCCACATTCTCCAAAATATCTTCTTTTGTGTAAGTTTTTGTGAGGAAACAATAAAAAAAAAATCATTTTTGGGTGAACTGTTCCTATAAGTCATTTTATTGGAACAACTTCCATAAAAACAATGGCAAATATTACTTCAAGTGACTAAAAGTGCATGTTTTCTTCACGAGAGTGTGAAAGAGAAGAGATGCGCGTTAATGAATTCCATCTTTCCCAATTAGCATGCAGTACTATGTGCTCCAAAGTCACAGCAGATTTATCCTTTCTGCTAATGAGAGACATCACCGTAGCATTGGAGATGCATTCCTGCACGATAGCATGTGTCTGGGAGCTTTATGGAGCTGTGCGTTCTCACTTACACACATGAGCAGACGGGTTAATGTCTGTATTTTGCATGTGTTTGACAGCATTAGCGTGGTGAACGGTGGATGGAGCGAGCAGGACTCTGCTGGTCTCAGTGCGCAGGCTCTGACCCAAGAGCTCGATACGCCGCAATCTGATGTGGCAGTGACCCAGCACTGACTCAACGTGCCCTCAGAGCTCGTCCAGAGCAGAGGAGAAATATTAGCACCGATATATCACACAGCGGATCACTGAGCACATACACGAGGAGAACAGACTCAGAACAAACAAGACCGCTAATAACATTAAGAACATTGAGATCAGCAGGGCTTTCTTGCTCTTTTAAAATAAAATAAAGCTAGATGAATCATGTAGGCATACTCTAAAATCTCTAGATTCAAAAATGGACCAATCAGAAATCGCCAATGTTATGATGTCACAAGCATGAGCACATTACCATATGACTACTCACATTTATGCTCTATACTGTTTGATGTCAGTAAGATTTTTTCAAGGAAACTAGTATTTTTATTCAGCAAGAATGTATTAAATAGATCAAAAGTCACAGTAACAACTTTCTTATGGCTTACTTTCTTTCTTTTTTTAAAGTCTTTATTTATCAAAGAATCCGGAAAGAATGTGTAACAAGCAGCACAACTGTTTTCAACATAATAATCAGAAATGTTTCTTGAGCAGCAAATTCAGCGTATTAGTATGATTTCTGAAGGATCGTGTGACACTGAAGACTGGAGTAATGATGCTGAAAATTCAGCTTTACATCACAGGAATAAATGACATTTTAAATTATATTAAAATACAAAACAGCTATTTTAAATAATACACATATTTCACAATATTACTGTTTTTACTGATTAAAAAATGCAGCCTTGGTGAACATAAGAGACTTCTGTTAAAACGTATCAAATCTAAACCTTTGAACAGTAGCGTATATTCATATTCATTCATTCATGTACTGTTCACTGTTCAGCAACTTGGCATGTGGTTGTTAGTTGTTTCACATGTAAAGTAATCATTTACATATAATCTTAAAGTCACAGTGGCATAAACAGTCTGTTTGAAGAGTCACAGAGATCGTGGAAAATGGTCATAAAAACTAAACTATGACCATTAACAGTTCAGGAAGCCATGACTGCCATTATTAATGGACTCTGGGGGAAAAAAAATAAAATGCTAGAAAAGTGTGGAAAAGGCCACTTTAAACTAAGCAATCCTATTTACTACAGAAACAAAAAAGGGGGGTGGAAAATGCTACAGATTCCCAGGATGATAAAGACAACTTCTGAGAGAGAGAGAAAGAGAGTAAAAATTTACAAAGAAAATCTATTTTAAAGCATCTTATCTTCTCTTTAAAACAAAACGTGGGAAGTGGATTCTCTGTGGAGATTACGACACATCATTTCACTTGAACTTTATCCATGTCATCTTTTGGGAAGGTACAACAATGACAGTAAGTGTTCCACTTTTTTTAGTGTTAAAAAAGGTCAGTGGATAAGATTTGTATCATACAGGACAGGCATATATTTATTTATTTACAGTAATACGATTTTTTTTCACAGTAGTAAGAATAATGTGGAGCTTAATTGTCATGAAAAAAAGTTTCATGGTTCTAAAAAAAAGGTGTACATTTCTCACGGGCAACACACAGGTAACACATAACCTAAAGGTTTCATAAGATTCACCCTAACACACTTGCTATACTGATTAATATATTACAGATGTAGACATGTTTCTTTGCTTTCCCAGATCTTAATGAAGTTGGTTTCATGACTTTATGGTGATAAGTTTGCATATACCACAGCACATGTGTGCATTTGACTGTAGAAACAGGTATGAAATACTGAACTCACGTCAACTTCTCCTTGATCAATCACATAAAAGTTGTCTCCTTCATCACCTGAGAAAGAAACCAGAGAAAACTGTGAGTTTATTCCAATCAACCAACTTCACGAAAAAGACTACCGATAAATAGCACTCTTTCCTTCCTCCTTTTCCTTGTTTCTCTGCTCAGTTGTGAAAATCGACATAAAATATTGAACATACACTACCATTCAAAAGTTTGGGGTCGGTAAGATAAAACGTTTTTAAAATAAGTATTTTGTGCTCACCTAGGCTGTATTTATTTGATTAGAAATGAATGTTTTCTATTCAAATATATTTTAAAATCTAACTTATTTCTGTGATGCAAAGCTGAATTTTCAGTTTTCAGTGTCACGTGATTCTTCAGAAATCAGTCTAATATGCTGATTTGCTGCTCAAGAAACAGTTAATAATAATAATAATAATAATAATAATATATTTTATTAATATAGCGCCTTTCAAACACCCAAGGACACTTTACATAAGGTAATAAACAGCCAAACAGCAGACAGAGGTGAAATAATATGCAATATACAAGATAAGTTACAAAAGCATAGAACAGAAAATTAAGGCAAGCAATTAATTAAGAAACATTGTGAATAGGTGAGTTTTGAGAGCAGTTTTAAAGGTCTGGAGTGAAGCGATAATACAGAGATCTTGTGGTAGTTTATTCCAGAGCTTGGCAGCGGAAATGCAGAAAGCCCTACCACCCACACTAGATAGCCGGAATTTGGGTACTGCAAGCAAATTTTCAGAGCTCGATCTCAAAGTACGGGCAGGGACATTAAAGGTAAGGAGGTGCTAACCCATGACGGGCCTTAAAAACTAAAACAAGAATCTTAAACTGAATACGATAGGTGACAGGGAGCCAATGTAATTGCTGTAAAACCGGACTGATGTGGGCATATTTTTTGGTAAATGTAAGAACATGAGCAGCTGAATTTTGGATAAGCTGCAAGCGATTAAGGACTTTGTTGGGTAGGCCATAAAACAAGGAGTTACAGTAATCCAGACGCGATGTGATAAACGCATGAACCACAGTTTCAGCATCTTTGCATTTCAAAGATGGTCGTAGGCAGACAATATTACGAAGGTGAAAAAAACTGGATTTGACAAGCTGATTGATGTGGGATTCAAAACGTAGACTAGAATAAAACATTACACCAAGATTGTGTATAGTGGAGGAGGGATGGACTATAACTCCATCAATGTTAATGGAGTAGTCAGGTTGGGAGGAGACAAGGGATCTAGGGCCAGCTAACAGAAATTCATTTTTTTCATTATTTAACTTTAAGACATTTTGTGCCATCCATACTTTGAGCTCATGTAAGCAAGATGCAAAAGAAGAAAGGGGGGAATTTTTTGGTAAATGTAAGAACATGAGCAGCTGAATTTTGGATAAGCTGCAAGCGATTAAGGACTTTGTTGGGTAGGCCATAAAACAAGGAGTTACAGTAATCCAGACGCGATGTGATAAACGCATGAACCACAGTTTCAGCATCTTTGCATTTCAAAGATGGTCGTAGGCAGACAATATTACGAAGGTGAAAAAACTGGATTTGACAAGCTGATTGATGTGGGATTCAAAACGTAGACTAGAATAAAACATTACAAATTTCAAAGATGGTCGTAGGCAGACAATATTACGAAGGTGAAAAAAACTGGATTTGACAAGCTGATTGATGTGGGATTCAAAACGTAGACTAGAATAAAACATTACACCAAGATTGTGTATAGTGGAGGAGGGATGGACTATAACTCCATCAATGTTAATGGAGTAGTCAGGTTGGGAGGAGACAAGGGATCTAGGGCCAGCTAACAGAAATTCATTTTTTTCATTATTTAACTTTAAGACATTTTGTGCCATCCATACTTTGAGCTCATGTAAGCAAGATGCAAAAGAAGAAAGGGGGGAAAACAGAATTGGGCTGTATGGTAAACTAGATTTGCTTATCATCAGCGTAACTGTGGAAATTTAGACCATGGCGCCGGATGATCTGACCCAGAGAAAGCATATAGATTAAGAATAGAAGTGGACCAAGTACAGATCCTTGAGGCACTCCGCGAAAAAAAAAATTCTTATTTCTCATTTCTTATTATTATCATTGTTCAAAACAGTTGTACTGATCAAAAGCTTTGTGGGTATTTTCTTTCAGGGTTTCTTGATTAATAGAAAGTACCAGCATTTATTTTAAATATAATTTTTTTGTAACAATTTTTTCTTTACTAAAAAAATTACTTACCCCAAACTTTTGAGCAGATCACTATAAAGTATCTGCTAAAAGTTAATTGGTCAACCTTTTAAGTGTGCATTAGCATCTAGATGACCCTGCAGCTAACAAAAACAGCCTAAAAGCCACAAAACTCCCATTTTAATTTCATGGGACCTTTAAATATAGGACGGAAAGGAGGAAAAGATAAATAATGTCATCTAGTTCCCAGATTCCATCTCTTTCTGACTCCCCGTTTCCCAAGAACACACACACACAGGGGTGCGTATCAAAGATAAAAGATGGCACACCACTTTAAAAGCGTCAGCACCTCCCAGAGTGGTGTCGTCTAAACGATTCCCAGGCTTCTTCATCTACACCCCATTTGAGAGTTTTTAATGGATGGCTGGTAGTGCCAGAAGCCACGGGCCCCGATCAACATTTCCAAGTTAAAGGCCTTTACATAAAGCATTTCTGTAGGTTCAGGGGCTCTTTGATGTCTGAATGTGTGTTGAAATTGGTGTTTGGGATCCTGGTAGCGAGCGTGCGTGTGTTTGCGCATGCCAAAGAGTTAAAAGAGCCCATGATCCGTGCGCTGCCGAGTTCACGCGGGTTCACGGGGCTAATTAACACCAAACACACTAAGCGCTCGTAAATCACACCAGCAATTTATCTTAACACACTCACCGATCGCTATTGGCTTACACACCATATCTCTCTCTCTTTCAACCCATTCAGCTCATTTTTCTTAGAATTGTTCCTGTCTTCCTGTCTTTTATCACCTCTGCTCTGAAGTTTCTGTTTTTTGGCTAACAGATCCTTGAGTCACAGAGTGCAGTCAAATATTTGACGAGAACAAAAACGCACAATTCTACACACAAAACTTTGCACATTCCTAGATCTAGTTTTATGGGCAATCTGCCCATGTTAGATAAATGCATCGAAACTCTGCTTCAAGAATCACATTGCACAGAGAGTGTGCAAGACGTGCACGCAGATCACTGTTCTCTATCGCTTATCAACTCCACATGAAACCAAAAAGAGCTCATTGTTTGACTGTATAAAAAACCCTCATCACCCACCGTTCCTTCTTACAAAACTAAAACAATCTGCAATGCATTTGTGAACTTAGTATGAGTACTTGGTTTTGACTTTATGATTGCTCTTCCATAGCTCAACATGAAGGTGTCATCATTCAGCCTTGTCTTAATGTGACTGCTGGCATACTGTAGGCCTGAATGTGGAGAGAATAGGATGGAGAGCATTGGTCTCTGAAGAATTTGAATGAGAAATGTATGGGTTTATATAGAGATCACATTGCAGATGACTGCAAATACAGTTTAGATGTTTTCTAGAGACACATTTCTTCTGGAAATTTCAGCTACTGTCTCCACATGCTTTGAGATATTTCAGTCTTTCTACTTCAAAATAGCACCTTTAGCTCAATGTATTACTTGCAATTTCTTTGTAATTATTTGCTAAATTTACAAGCAATTTATTGGTGAAAATTGTTCAGTTTAGAGATATTTCTTTGGTTTGCATTTTTGTGTTTTGCACTGTATGTGCGCTGCATAAATGTAATGTAACATTAAATACATTACATGAAATAGAATTAAATGTTCTAAGGCCCAAAAACGTACTCTAAACAAGTAGAGTTTACATGACCACAGACACCTTGAGCTACACAAGCCTGCTTTTATGTGCCATTTTGTTCCAAAATACTATAATATTTAGAACAACAGAAGTGTAGCTCATTTAGACTGTAGTAAAATGATTTCTCAGAAGTTAGCTACATTTTGGATATCCTTCCATCATGAGATGTTTGTGGATCATCTTCAAAAGCAAAAAAAAAAAGGAATAAAATAAAGTTTTTTTTGTAATACTAAAAATAAAAATTTTCTTTCAGGATCAGAATTAGGTTTGGGTTAGTCTGTAGCTTGGTAAACTAAAAAGAAAAGAAAAGAAAAGAAAAGAAAAGAAAAGAAACTGAAAAAATAACAAATTAAATTAAATTAAATTAGACTAAAATATAAAATTAAAAAGAAAAAATCCAGGGCAGTGGGCAGTGACTTTTTTATTTTTATTAACAGAAACTGATATATTTTAGAGTCTTGATATATTAATTAACTACAGTTAACTTTGTGACTCCAGAAAAAAATAAAAATAAAATTATGGGGCCCTATCATACACTCGGCACAAATAAGCGCCAGGCATGACGCAAGTGGTTTTTGCTATTTTCAGCCCGACGCAGTTATCAGCCCGACGCAGTTATCCTGCACCACGTTGTGTATTTGTGCGCCCATGGACGTGCTGGTCTGAAAACGAGGTGTGTTCAGGTGCATTGTTGGCGTGTTGCTATTTTGATGCACCAACTAAAACCTGGTCAATAGTCAAACGTCAATAGCGCAGTGTGTTTTTGTTATTTAAAGTAGTAATATGCGCCTATAGGCGGGTCCACAACGCGCATACACTCTGCTTATTACACACAGGGAAACATGCCAAATATTAAGAATTAAAGGATTACAATGTAAAATATTATTATTGTGTAGGCTACATAAATAAAAAAATGCCTACATGTCATAATGGATAGTCATTGCATGTATCAGAATCTAGGCTACCTATTTGCTCGCGCACGAGCAGCTCCGTTTCCTCTCTGGAGACGCGTTCAGTCTTTGCTCTCGCAAAATCAGGCCGTGTAAATAGCGAATCCGTCATGGCGCGAGCACAACTGGCTCTTAAAGGGAATGGGAGATGAGACTCTGATTGTTTTTTTTGCATGTTATGACCAAAACACACCCATTACTCATTAAGAGAATAGGGATAACCCTTTTAGACCATGCGCCGAACCGTCTTTCCCATCGTTAAACTAGCAAAAGTGGATTCAGACATGCCCTAAATGCACCTGCGCCTGAGACCATGCGCTTAGATCGTTAAAATAGGGCCCTATATATTTAATATAATTATATATATATATATATATATACACACATATACACACACACACACATATATATATATATATACTGTATATACACACATATATATATATATATATATATATATATATATATATATA